ATAAATAAATAATTATTATTATTAATAATAATAATACATATATTTTACTTATATATTTATTCAACAAATAAATATATGAGTAGGCCTATAATAAAAAAGTGTGAATCGCAGATGTTGAATGGTGCATTGCTGCATCCACTCGGGCTCCCGTAGAAAAACACCGTGACATGGTTGAGCTCTTGGAGAAAATCAGGATAATCTGCGTAACGGTCCATCCTCATCCTCATCCTCCCGAGCGGCGGGTCGGTCTGTCCTCTTCACCCACGAAACCGAGAGCCATGGCCGCGCAGAAGATCAACGAGGCGCACGATCACATCGCGAAAGCCGAGAAATGGTGAGATATGGAATATTCTCATATGAATGAGCGGACAGAACAGATCTCATGCATTTCCGAGTTCCGATCGGCCTGCTGTCTGTCGCTGTCAGTCAGACTGCCACTAATACTGCTAGATTAGCGGATGCAGCTGGCTTTTAACTCATTTATCGGTGCAATCATGTCCAGATGATTAATGCTGAAGGATTCTGATGCGCTTTCATTATAATATTCCACAGCGAGACTGACTGCGTAATCGCGCGTGCAGTGATAAAGGTTACCTTGGCGACAGCTGCAGTGGTCCTGATGTGGTCATTATTATGAGGGTTCTACTGATGATGTGGGCCATTCCTGAAATGCAGTGCATGTTTATATGCCCATCATGTAGGAGAGTACCGGGGCAAGTTGTCACAGGCCACACATGTCAGTAAACAGAAGATTTTGAGTCTAAAGTTCAATTACACACCTGTGTGTTTTTTTTTGACACACTTTGCATACACCTAGTTCAAAAACTAAACTTAAATTATGTGCATTATTATGATATTTTTTTTGTAATACGTGTTCCCTTGTGGAAAAGAAGTACACTTTAGCATACTTTACAGTTTTTCTCAGTCGCTTTGGTGCATTTCTCACATCACTATTTACATTTGCACAACAGTTAATGCAGTTCTCAAAACAATTAGTACAAACTGCAAAACCTAGTTGATAACCTGCATTAGGAGACATTTTCAGGAAAAAAAAGATTTAAACATTTTTTTAAAATTTGCTTGACAGATTTTGACTAGTTCAACATTTTTGTATGTAATGACTCAAGCAATGAAATGAGGACTATTAGTTTTATATGGAATGACTATTCAGCATTCACAAGTATAGTTAATTTTGACTGACATGACATAAGCAAATGATAATGTTATAAAACAGCAGAGAGTTGTATGAAAGCAATTGATGCATGTCCAAAAGCATTTGCAATTTGTTCGAAGGAATGAGAAACTGCTACTATGATGTGCACAAATGACTAAATGTTGTGGAGGTTGAACTAACTGTTGTGCAAATGTAAATAGTGATGTGAGAAATGCACCAAAGCGACTGAGAAAAACTGTAAAAAGAGTACGGAAAATACTTGAAAAGAATTTAAGTGTGAACTGAATGTAATGTTTCAAACACCTACTATTGTATTTACAATTAAACGAAAATGCATTATAGTTTAGTTTAGTTGAGCCTAAGAGTGTTTTCTGGCTAAAGTACATCTGTATATGTAATTTCATAATTGTATTGTTTTTAAAACATTATTAAAGTGTACTGCTGAATATACTGACAAGCATTCATGGTAAACTAAAGTATACTTTAATGTAAGTTCTGTTGAAATTTGTATGTCATGTATTTAAATAAATATTTTTGTTAGTTATTTCTAATGATGAAATTGCATTTGAGTGCATTTAAAATATATTTACTTCTAATGTAATATCGAATAACACTACAGTTAAAATTTTATTCAAGTACTTTTTATGTGCTATATATATTGGTCTTCACATCAAAATAAGTTTACTTCTTCAAAAGTTATACTTTTGAAATAAACTGCAAGTGCACATGCAGTACATTTAAGCGCACTTCTTTTTCAGTGAACACCTTAAAATAGTTGAATTTTACCTCATGCAGCTTGAAGACCAGCATGACCAAGTGGAAACCTGATTATGACGGAGCCGCTTCAGAGATGGCAAAAGCAGGTGATGAATACAGATGTAAAGTGACGTCTTGCATTGATGTTATTGATGAAGGTGATTATATATAGGCCTGTCACGATAACAACTTTTTGTTGTGTAATATATTGACCCAGAAATAATTGTGATAAGCGATATTATTGTCATTTTAAAGACCATTTTATGCCACTGAATATATAATCATAATGTAACAACAGCATAATAATGCAAGAAGGCCTACACACTTCCAAACGACAACAAACTTTTCATTTTTAAGAATATTTAGATCATGGAAATTAAGTATAAAAATATTAGATACCTTAAAAAAACTTGAATAAATAGTAAATAAATATTTTCTAACAAAAAGTGCAAAGTAACAAGTAGAAAAAAGAAAAAGGCACAAAAATAATTGAGGTCATGTACATATATTGTGCGATAAGTCGATATATTGATTATTGCGACAGGCCTAATTATATATAGTGAAATATTATGACTATAACATAATGTCTGTTGGTGTTATATCAGCTGTGGCTTTCAAAAACACCAAACAGTTTGAACAAGCGAAGGATGCGTACCTAAAGGAGGCCGAGTACCACACAGAAAACAAAGCGTATCCTTCTCCTGCACATCAGACTCCAGTTACTAGTTTAGGACAGAAGAAGAAATCCTAATTATCATAGTTAATTTAACAAACAAGACTAATTATTGTGCAGTACAGATATATCAAAGGGGGTGTCAAAAGTTTGGGGACTTTGGTAAGATTTTTATTTTTTTTTTGTAGAAATTAATACTTTTCCACAAGGATGCATTAAGTGACAGTAAAGACCTTTATAGGCTTTTATTTTAAATAAACACTGTTCTTTTGATCTTTCTATTCATCAAAGAATCCTGGAAAATAAATGTATGAAGGTTTCCATGGAAATGTTAAGCAGCACAACTGTTTTCAACATTGATAATAATCAGAAATGTTTCTTGAGCAGCAAATCAGCATATTAGAATGATTTCTGAAGATCATGTGACACTGAAGACTGGAGTAATGATGCTGAAAATTCAGCTTTGATCACAGAAATAAATTACATTTTACAATATATTACAATAAAAAAACAGTTACTTTAAATTGTAATAATATTTCACAATATTACAGTTTTTACTGTATTTTTGATCAATTAAATGCAGCCTTGGAGAGCAGAAGTGACCTCTTTTTAAAACATTAAAAAAGCCTACCGACCCCAAACCTTTGAACAGTATAGCATTTGATTAACTCTTGGTTTTATTCTCTCATTCGGTACTTATATTTACTTAACTAAAATTCACAGACTCTTCCATGCAGCAAAGTAAGTGAGCATTAATATTTCAAATAAATATTAGGCTATACTTATTAACCCTAAATCTATACAAACAATCCATATGCCAAACTAATCTATAGTTTGCCAATTTCTTTTAATATACATCTAAACAATGGCACCCATCATAACTCATGCTGTTCTTCTTCTCAGAGCGTATGAACAAGCCGGCATGATGCTGAAGGTGAGTTGGTCGCGCAGTGATTGTTATGGATGGCCTGTAGGTTTGAGGCATGTCTGAATGTCTCTTGTATGCCGGCAGGACATGAAGAAAATGCCTGAAGCCATTCAGCTGATCGAGAAGGCCAGCATCATGTACGTGGAGAACGGGACGTCTGGCACTGCTGGAATAGCCTTGGACAGGGCTGGGAAGTGAGTAAACAGATCGAAACACTTCCTGAGAGGTTATTTGTGTAGTTTCTCATGTGTAAATAATTATAATATGCATGCATGCAAAGGTTGTGTTACCATTACCTGTGTTAACTAGTGCCATCTGC